ACTATATTCCACAGGCTTCCTTGTAGCTATACCACAAAGTTCTGGCCAGTGAAATATAAGTGGAAGTGTCATTTGGGATTTCTTGGAGACCTTCTAAAAGGGGAGGGGGCTGGCCCTTCTTTGTCCTTTCCCCCACCTTCCTGCTTGCAATGAGCAAGTATTAGCTGGAGCTACATCAATCAGCTTGGATCATGAGGATGAGGCCATACCTTCAGGATGGCACAGCAGAGCGCTGGGAGGACCTGCAGTACCCAGCAACTTCATGGAGCTACCACACCAAACCAGCACATCTGATCTCTGCACTTTTTTGACATAATAGAGAAGTCATCTTCTATCTTGTTCAACCACTGTTATTTATTTTTTCTGTTACATGCAGCCTAATCTGATTCTGATACATCAAGGCAGCTGTAAATGAGGGCCCAGAAACCCTATGGCTGCCCTCAGTTATGAGGTGGCCGTCTAGATAGATGACATAAAGCAGGCTTATATGGTTCCATTTAGATTTTAATTGTTATAGAAACACAGTGTTAATTGGTACAGCTATTCTGGAAAACAGGATGAAAATTCCTCAAAAAATTAGAAATAAAACTACCATATGATCCAGCGATCCCTCTTCTATATACCCAAAGGAAGTGAAATCAGTATGTCAAAGAAATATCTGCAACTCTCAGGTTTTTTGCAGCTATTCACAATAGCCAAGATATGTAATCAACCTCAGTTTCCATCAATAGATGAATAAAGAAATTGTGGTATATACATGTATACAATGAAATATTATTCAGCCCTTAAAAAGGAGATCCTGTCATTTATGACAACATGGATGAACCTGGAGGACATTATGCTAAGAGAAATCAGCCAGAAACAGAGATATGTGTGATATGTGATCACTCATATGTGTGATCTTAAAAAAAAAAAAAAGAACAAAAAAGCCAAATACACAGAAAAAGAGAGTAGAACAGTGGTTACCAGGGGAAGGGCAGCTGGGGGATGGGGAGATGTAGGTCAAAGGGAACAAAGTTATGTAGGATAAGGAAGTCTAGAGAGCTAATGTACAGCATGAGGACTTTAGTTAGTGATATTGTATTGTATATTGGAAATTTACTAGGAGATTTTAGGTACTCTTACCACAAAAAAGATAACTAAGTGAGATAATAAATATGTTAATTTGCTTCACATTAGCAACCATTTCACTGTATATGTATATCAAAACATGTTTTATACTTTAAATATATACTATATATATAGTATATATACACACACACACACACACCAGAAAAACACAGGAAAAAAATTCCACAGTTTAAAAATTATCACAAAAAATTCTCTAATCCCTAAGAATATTCCAGACCCCCAGAGGCTGTAATAGCCCAGAAAAAGCTCTGGCTTAGTAGATTCCTAGTTGTCACCCAGAAGGGATATAGGAACCTCACACTGAGGTGATGGGGTACACACCATGGAAGTTCTGTTGGCAATCCCCTGACTTTGAGCTTGTGTCTTAGGCAGGCCCCAAAGGAAAGAAACTAAAGCAAGACTAAGTGGGAAGCTTGGATGAGGAGGGCACTGGTTTGGGGAAGCCAAGCAGCGACTGGAGGAGGGAGGCAAACATCAGCTCCATCTGCCTAAATCTACTCCTCGGCCCTTTCTCAGATCAGCTCCCTTTGTCCTTTGATGGCAGGAGAGACCATAAGCCAAAAGAGTGACTCTCATTGCTTCCTAGAACATCAGGAGCATGGAGCAGGTGACAGAAAGGTTGGGGCCAAAACGCTAGCCAGGAAGGGTCAGCTTTCTATCCCTCTGTGGGGCCCCAGCTGCTGGACATAGCCATGGCCCTGGAAACTTGACTCCTCTGACTGAAATCTCCATGTTAATTTCAAATTTAAACCTGGGCTTTGGGCCACCTCATAAACCACCTCCTCGTTTTTTCCCCACCCCACCACTTCCTCAGGATTCAGGGACAAAATTTGGTAGAAGGGGGGCTATGAAATATGAACCTCAGTTTGGTTTGTTCAACCTTTCTCCAAATAATAAATCTTAATCAAGTCGCTGGAGATAATTCCTCTTGCCTTTGCACAATTCTTTCTCTCTCTGTTCCCCCTCTCCTTCTTTGATTCCCAATTCCCTTTCTGCCTCTTTGGAGTCTTTGCCCTTGGCCAGCCAGCCTTCCCTTCCCCGGCAGGCTTTTCTAGGCCCCATCGGGTGAAGTAGTGGAAAAAGTACATGTTTGGGCTACCAAATGAAAGTTAATCCCGGATCTGTCATTAACTAGCCGTAAGATCCAGGGCAGGTCACTTCAATCCTCTGAGTTTGTTTCCACTCCTGGAAAATGAGAATAGTAATTCTCCTAATGAAGCTACCATCATGACTTAATTAAGTGAGACAAATATATAAACGTTCCTTAAACCTAGTAGGGGCTTTTAATCAACATTAGAAGTGGTATATCCCCCACCAGCCATAACTATTCCCCAAACCTGATCCTCCTCTACTGCTGCTGGCCTTGGTGAATGGCACCTGCTGCCAGGCAGAAAGCAAAGAATGATTTCTGACTCATCCCCCTACTTCACTTTCCAAGTTCAATCTGTCATCAAGTCAGTCCTCCTGTCAATTTTATCACCTTGTCTAGGTCAGATACTGTCTCATAATACAATGTACCTCTGTTACTTCTTTGAACAGTTGCAATTTTACATTTATGGGTATTAATATTTGTGCTCATCTCTCCTCTCATCATCATATTCCCAGTGCTGAGCATAGTGTCTGTCATGCAGTTAGGGGCTTAATAAACATTGCTGAATAAATGAATGAGATAGAGCTAAACATTATTTCCATTAACTGGTATGCCACTTGAGACTCAGAGAGGTTAAATAACTTGCCCAGAGGCATACAGATAGTAAACGGCCAAGCCAGGATTTGAACTAAGATTTGTCTGATTCCAGAGTTGGTGCTCTTTTTTTCAGCTTTATTGAGATATAACTGACGAATGATATTGTATAAATTTAAAGTGTGCAACATGATGATTTGATATACCTATGTAATACAATTGTCCCTCACTATTCATGGGAGATTGACTCCAGGACCCCTGGTGGATACCAAAATTCATGGATGCCCAAGTCCCTGATATAAAATTGTGTAGTATTTGCATATAACCTACAAACATCCTCCTGTATACCGTCATCTTTAGATTACTTATAATACCTAATACAATGTGCATGCCATGTAAATAGTTATTATATCATATTGTTTAGGGAATAATGACAAGAAAAAAGCCTGTTCATGTTCAATACCTTGCAACCATCCATTTTTAAAAATATTTGATCCACAGTTGGTTGAATTCATAGATGCAGAACCCACAGATATAGAGGGCCTGCACATTGTGAAATGATTACTACAATGAAGTTAGTTAACTCATTCATCATCTCACATAGTCACCTTTTTTGTGGCGAGAATATTTCAGATCTACTCTCTTAGCAAATTTTAAGTATACAATACAGTATTGTTAGCTATAGTCATTCTATTGTACATTAGATTCCCAGAACTTATTCATTTTATAATTGAAACTCTGTACCCTTTGGTAGTAATAGAAATGTTTCATCAACAGCATAAGACATGGCACAGGTAAGAGGTATGGCAGGAGGGCTCAAAAGTAGCTTTTTGTATACTTTTGCTTAAGGAATGGTCTTTATAAGTTGAACCCTTCTCCTTTTTCTGGTTAGGGGCTGTGTCAGTATTTAAGTCCAAGTCAGGATTCTAATCTTTTTGAGATGGGGGCCTCATCTCTTTTCATGTCCATGCCACCTTGACCTGGGTATATGAATATATGTGTATATGGAGGGAACAAAGGAAAGAGAGAGGCAGGCCTAGGCCGGGCGCGGTGGCTCACGCCTGTAATCCTAGCACTCTGGGAGGCCGAGGCAGGAGGATTGCTCGAGGTCAGGAGTTCGAAACCAGCCTGAGCAAGAGCGAGACCCCATCTCTACTTTAAATAGAAAGAAATTAATTGGTCAACTAATATATATAGAAAAAATTAGCGGGGCATGGCAGTGCATGCCTGTAGTACCAGCTACTCGGGAGGCTGAGGCAGCAGGATCGCTTGAGCCCAGGAGTTTGAGGTTGCTGTGAGCTAGGCTGACGCCATGGCACTCACTCTAGCCTGGGCAACAAAGTGAGACTCTGTCTGAAAAAAAAAAAAAAGAGGCAGGCCTAGACTGGTAAGATGTAGCAAGATATGGTTCTACACAAACAGGCTGCCCTGAAGCCTGAAGGCAGTGGTGATGGGGGTTAGCACCACCTGGAAGACACACAGAAATCCCTCAAGTTTCCAGTTTCATTTCAAGTAGAAAATGAATGGTGAGAAAATTGTTGGGGTGTCTGGGGGTGGAAAGGTAAGACTCGGAATAAGAATTGTATTCATTATTGAAAGTTTAGTGTGAGCAAGGCACCATCCTAGATGCTAGTTTAATCTTAACACTATCCCAGATTAAAAAAAAACAAAAAACAAAAAACTAAAAGTCAGAGTGATTGATTTATTTGAGATCCTACAGCTAGAGGGGAAGGCAGAGCTAGAACTTGGACTCAAATCTGTCTCTACAGAGCTCATGTTCTTTCCACTTTGCACTAGTGATGTATGCTGGAACCATGAGGAGCACAGGAGGGAAATTTGAAGGAAGAATAGAAGTCAAAACCCAAGCCAGTTCTGCCCAAGAAAAGCACCAACTCACAGGACCCCATGCTCTGATGAACAGCTGGCAGTAATGTCAGGATGATCTGTCATGTTCCAGGGATCTGCCACACCGGCTCAGCACCCTATCCCTAGGCTACCCCACCTCACTCCTCTCATTTGAATAATGGTCTCGATGCCCTAGTGTCTCAAAATGCTAAAGACTACTCTCTTGGACCCCCTTCTGTCCTGGCATCTCAGGGCTAGGAAAATAAAGAAGATTTAGAAAGGCCACCCACAAATCAGAGGAATTTGAATTAAAAATAATTTTGTGTCTATTCTTGTACAGCACTCTAATTCGTGTTTATATGGACTTGAAGATTATGAAATAGACATGCACCTGAAAAAAAATTAGTCCTGGTTCTACTACTTACCAACTATGGGATCTTAGGTAAGTAACTTCCTTTCTCTGATCCTCAGGTTCCTCATCTGTAAGTGGAAATTATCATTCCTTCCTTTCAGGAGCATTAAGAAAATAAGAAATAATGTGTATAAAGCATCCTTGCACAGTACCTAGCACATAGTAGGCCTATAGGCTTCCAGAATGGGATGGGAAGGGAATTTCTGGGTTGAGGGCTGTGGCCAGTCTAGTTGAGCATGGCAAATAAAAATGAATCCACGGAAACCCACAGAAAGACACACAAGTGAAACTTCAGAACAAGAGCCACCATATACATTAGCAGCAATTCCAGAGGCACCATTTATATATACTGTGAAATGAAATGATGTCCTCTGGAGTTATGCAGTGTGGTGGTTCTATGCAGAACAGCAGAGGAAAGGGGAAGATAATCTAGGTGAACAGATAGAAAATACATTAATCTAGGATGTGTGACTTTTCTGGCCTGACCATCCAGACCAGTCCATGGGTCTGCTTGGTAGGTAGAGTTATCTTTTTTGTATGTATGGAGTTATCAGTTTCTCTGGAGTGGTCCATGTTTCTAGTTTGGTGTCCAGAGTAGACTGTTTGTCCAGTCATCCCAGCCTTTGCCCTTATGTTTGGATTTCTTCTGTACCTTTCCTAGGCCTGTGTGATGTTTCTCCAGCTGGACATACACTTTGATAGCAGCCATGGTTGTCTCTAACAGAGAAAGTTTTGGGGTGACTTAATAATTCCTTTTGAGACTCAGGCTTCTTTGGCCCTAGCAATGTCCCTTTGGCCTGGCCCCTTAAAGGAACTGTTAGGAGGCAGGGGTACAAGTAGCTTCAGAGAGGGGCCCAACCCACTCTAGCATGTACTCCAGGTGAGCTGGGCAAAAGGGCTCCCCGTCCCCTAACTACAGCTTCACCCCAAACCAGTCTCTTACTCCAATATAGCTCTGCCTTCCACATGACACCTGTGGACCCAATATCTGTCTTCTCTGAAATTTAGGGCTTTGTGCAGAAAGATCAGGTAGGGCAGTTATGAGATAGCCACAGTCATCCAGTCATTAGTGAACAAGGTTCTGGAGTCAGACACTCTAAACTTGAGCTCCTTCTTGGTCACCTACCCAGCTGTGTCACCCTGGGCAAGTTGCTTAACTTCTCTAAGTCATGGTTTTCCTGTCTATCAAATGGAGTAAAAATAGCATCTACTTTATATTGTTGTTGGTAAGATTCGAAGAGATAATCCATATAAACTACAGTATAATCTCGGGCAAGTTATTTAGCTTCTCTCTGCCTCAATTTCCTTATCTTTAAAATGGAAAGAAGAGTAGTATCTACCTTATAGGTATATTATGAGAATTAAATAAATTAAAATCTGTAAAGCACTAAGAGATTGGCACAGGGTAAGTGCTATATACATATTTGTTAAATAAGTAAATGTGGGGTTCTTCACTCATTCCACAAATATCTACCAATTACCTACTGTGTATTTCTTCTTGGCCTTTTGACTAAGATCAACCACAATTACCTACTGTATGCCAGACATTCTTCTAGTCACTAAGGATATAGAAATAAATAAGATCAACAAGAATCCCTACTTTTGTGGAGCTCAGAGTCTAGTGGGGGAAGACAAACAATAAATAAGCCAATAATAAAATAAACAAGGTAAATATAATGGTTTCACGAAGGAAATGAAACAACGTAATAGGAAAGAGAGTAATGGGTAGAAGGTGCAGGGCATTGTTTCATAAGATGGTGTTTTATTCTTTTTAGTGTTGCTATAACAGAATACCTGAGACTGGGTAATTTATAAAAATGGTGGTTTATTTAGCTGATGGTTCTATAGGCTGGTAAGTTCAAGGGCATGGCCCTGGCTTCTTGTGTGGGCTTCTGTGCTGCATCATAACATGGTGGAGAAAGTCAAAGGGGAAGTAGACATGAGAGAGAAAACCTGAGAGGCATCCTGGCTTTATAACAATCCATTCTCAGGGAAACTAATCCATTCCCACAAGAACTAATCCAACCTTGTGGAGCAAGAACTCACTCACCCATACCCCCATAATATTCTGAAATTTAAAATAAAATAAAAAAACAGGAACCTACTCACTACTGTGAGAAAAGCACCAAGCCATTCCTGAAAGATCTGGTCCCATGACCCAAAAACCTTCCACAAGGCAGGCCCCACCTGTTCATTTCAACATGAATTTGGGTGGGGACAAAGAAACCGTAGCCAAAACATAGCAGATAGTCAGGGAGGTGGCATTTAAGGTGACACCTGAATACAAAAAGAGAGCCAGATCTTGGGAGATAGCTTTCCAGGCAGAGGGAAGAGATAGTGCAAAGGTCCTGAGGTATGGTTGGAATAGAGTAAGGGGGAGGGAGAGTAGTAGGAGATGTGGGTAAAGAGGAAGACAGAGGCCTGATCACATAGGGCTCTGGAGTCCATGTAGAGTAGCTTAAGTTTTATTGTAAGTGCATCAGGGAACAAATTTCACAGACAAACCATTCATTTTATATTTGGGAAAAGTAATGCCCAGTGAGGGAAAGCAATTGTCCAAGATCATACAAAGAATTAGTATCAAAATTGGGATTAGGACTGAGCTTCCTTCATGCCCCAGCATCATGCATTTTATTCCCAGCCATATCATATTCTCTGCAAATTATATCATACCATTGAAGATTAGCTGGATGCAGTTTCCACAAATGAAACTGATATACCTGAAAATGCATTTTAGGTGATGTATTCAGCAAACCCTACCCTGCACATGCTAGTGCATTAGTAGGTAGGATATAGGAGCCTTGTAAGAGGAAACTGGAAACTGTTCCTGTACACAAGCAGGCAGATGAAGTTATCTGTCCTCTGGAGGTCAGTTTGCCACGGAAAACTAGGCTGAAGCCCTATATGTTCATTCCCTTCTCAAGGCAACTAAACAAAAAGCATTTATTTGTAAGGGAATGCCATCTCAGATGGCAGAGTCCAGCTTTAGCCAAAGGAAGAGCATCAGCCTAGCAGCCTGGACTGCTAGTTCCTTCAGGTTATTGCAGCCATCTCCTTGCTGGCCACAGAAGAGCAATGCTGTACTCTTATAATGCTCCACCACTTAAATCAAACCCATCTAAGGCCTCCTGTCATTTCCTCCCCTGAGCTTAAATAATCTGGCATTTTCAAGAAAATTCTGACAAATACTTATTTATAACAAAAAATAAGTTTAGAATGCATCAGGGTGACAATGATTTGGTTTACAAATATTGGTTTATGACATGTTTTCTTCTCTGATTATTTCAATAACATATTTACCTTGTAAACCATTAAGAAATCACAATATTTCTTATAGCCCTGGCTTGAGTGAGGTAAATGCATTTCATGTAACCAAAATTTTTGTGCCCCCATAATATCCTGAATTTAAAAAAAGGAATTACAAAATTATAAGGAACAAATTTAAAATTACCTGTAACTCCACAACCCAGAGATAATCACTAATAGTTTGTCTATAGTCTTTTTCTTATATATAGAAAAAAATTAATATTATTGCCTATACAAATGTGTATCTTGTTTTCCTTATCTAAAGTTGTGAATACTTTCCCAATCCATTAAACATTCCCCCCAAACATGATATAATAATATAATAATTAATGAAATTGTTATATAATATTACAAGTGAAATATATGCCATAAAATATGTAACCCAATCCCTAGTGCAACCATTTCCAAAATGTGAAGACTTTAGTAGTGTTTGGTTAAAAAAACGATATAAAAAGTGATCATGGTCAAATGAGTTTCAAACTCTGCTTCTAACAGAACTTTGCAAGTTTGTTTTCAGCACAACTGATCTCAGAGCCTTATTACACCAACGTATATTGGACTCTTCAACGGAATATGGTATGTGGTATTTCTTGTTTATATATGTGGAACATCTCATTGCACTGATGCAGTGTAGAACAAACATAGTGAGATACCGCCCCAGTGTGGACATTTAAGATATTGCAAATCAATATCTTACAAATCATTCTGCCGTAATCATATTTGCACTGACATTTTTGTGCACTCTTCTGGCTTTTTCTTCAAGAGTGACTTACAGGAAAGAAATTATTGGGAAAAAATAAATATGTAGTTCTGATCCTACCCTACCTAGCTTTTTCTCTGGGTCTCCATGGGCCCTAATCCCCGAAGGGATCCAAAAAAAAGTTTCAATCCAACTGAGTTTCTTTCTGCCCCAGTTCAAGGTCTACCTCCTCACAGTAAAGGTTTTTTTTATAAATAAACTTATTTTTATTCTAGAAATATTTTTGGAAAGAACTGGTAAGATAGTATAAAGGAGTTCCCATATACTCAGCACCCAGTTTCCACTAATATTAACACCTTACATTAGTATGGTACATGTGTTATAATTAATAAAACAATATTGATAATATATAATAATTAAAGTCCATGATGTATTTATATTTCCTTAGTTTTTACCTAATTTTCTTTTTCTGTTTCAGAATCCTATCCAGAATTCCACATCACATTTAGCCATAATATCTCCTTAGGTTCCTCTTGGCTGTGATGGTTTCGCAGACACTCCTTGTTTTTGATGACCTTGAAAGTTTTGAGGAGTTCCAGTTAGGTATTTTGTAGAATATTTCTCAACTGAAATTTGTCTGATGTTTTTCTCATGATTAGACTGTGATAATGTGTTTTTGGTAGGAAAACCTCAGAGGTGAAGTGCCATTCTCATTCACATCATATCAAGAGCATACACTATTAATATAATTTGTCACTATTTATGTTAATGTTGATCAACTGGCTTGAGATACTGTTTGTCAAGTTTCTCCACTGTAAAGTTACTCTTTTTGCCCCTTTCCATACTGTATTCTTTGGAAGTAAGTCACTACACAGAGTCTAAACTTAAAGAGTGAGACTTATGTCCCATTGTTGAAGTCATTTTAAAATAGAAGATATAGCTATCTATTTGTGTCTTCATTAGTTGAATGAATTCTTTGGGCCCATGAAGTGTACAGGGTGTTATGGTTATATTAAATTTATCTAGTCCTTCTCCCCTATTAATAAGAAATTAATATCTATTTGAGCACATGGTTCAAGGATGATATCATACAGGCACAATGTAGCATTGACAACTACAAATGGTATTTTCCTGGAATCTCCCCTCCAGTTATAAAGAAAAGCAGCATCAAAAAAAGTATATGACAATGAGGGTATTCACTTCCAAGTGAAACAAGCATAACTGGTAAAAAGTTATTTTTTAAAAACAATCATTTACAGTATCTCAAAATTATCCTAAGGCAAGACATCAATTGAAGAAATATTTATTTAATAAAATCTACTAAATCTTGGTAAGAATGTGAGGGTCCGTGGCACTTGAGCCATGACCCTACTTTCTCCCTATCCTCCTTCCCAGCTGAGCCTGCCAGAAACTTTATTCCGGGTGAGTATGGCCAAGAAAACAGTGCTCCCTCTCTCTTTATCTCCCAGTCAAGGTATTCAGTGTCTCACCAGGAAGGACAAGCCACTACTCTTCATAATCACCCACCCACCAGCCCACTGCTATGAGTTATAGAGGTGAGTGTGGCCAGTGAGGGATGGTGAAGTTTTCTTTCCTCCACTCAGACTCAATCATAAGGCAGAGGCTCTAGACTCAGGTATGGCTGGATAAGAATACTGAGACACCAGTTGCCCTTTCCCCAGTTCCCTCATTGGGCAGAGGCTCACAATGTAAGAGACAAGCTGAGAATACCAGAGGCTACCGGCCTGTGAAACATCCTGGTCATAAAGCATGGGTGTTTTGCTAAGAAAAGTGGGCCACTATCCCTGCACCCATCTCTGGAGTTGTGGCTCAGAGATTTTGGCTCAGCTACAGAGACAGAGTGATCTGAAGCTCTCCTAAAGAAGCTGACTTTATTCGAAAGACTGTAGAAGTTCAAGCCTAAGGGAACTCTCAAAAACAATGAATATTTGGTGGTCAGCAATTAAGAGGAGGCTGAGAACTTTCTTAAGACTGACAATCTAAAACAGAGGCAAACTAGTTCACCAGAGAGAACCGGAGAAGGAGACAGCAAAGATGAGCCCTCCTGAGACCTGAACAAGCCTCAAAGATTTGCCTCAAATACTACCTGTGAAAAGGGTCCCAAATTTAATTGGATCTGACTGTGGAATAATTTCTGTCCCAGAACATTATCAAAAATAAGAAATCACCCAGCAAGTAGTGAAGCCTCACAGCTGGGTGTGATTCCAGTAGATGCACATAGCTTCACTGAGAGGTCAAGAAAAGAGACAGTCATAAAGAGCTCTGATAAAAACCACCACCATCCCAGGGTGATGGTGCACATGCTCAAACTTTACTTTCTGAAGATCAATACTAAAGACTTCACACTGAGGAGGAAATTGATTTCACTGAAATAGCTTAATCAAATCACTAAACAAGAAAATAACAGTAAAAACAAGCCTTGGGGAGGAGCAAGGAAAATCGATATCCAGTTGCTACAATGTATTACCTAAAATGTCCAATTTTCAACAAAAAATTAGGAGACAAGCAAAGAAACAGAAGAGAATAAACTAAATGCAGGGAGAGAAAAAACAGGCATCAGAAACTGTGAGTGGGCCTAGATGTCGGATTTCACAAAGACTTTAAAACTGTCATTAGAAATGTTTAAAGAACTAAGGGAAACCATGTTTAAAGAAGTAAAGGGAAAAAGTGGTGTAGTGGGGATCTCCAAAAATCCTCTTCTCCATAAAAGTAATCAGAAAACTAGCAAAAATTGTCAGAATCAAAATTTTCAGAACTCTAGAAATTATCCAAGGATTTATAGAAATCTAGGGTGCATTTATTCAAGAAAAATGGCTGAATCTCAGTAAGAAGAGTGAGATTTATGGTGTTTTTAACTTGTCCTAGTCTGATTCCCCACACTTTAGCATCAAAGTACTCTTGAAAAATAACATCCTGGCAGACACTAGAGAGAGAGAAAGGGGGCTAGAATTCTCTCTAAGAATCATTACCAGAGAATTGTCATTATTTAACTGGCCTAATGGTCCCCTGGAAGAGCCCACTTACAAACTTGTCTGTATTTAAACTTGATTCATGCTCGAGGCTCAGATTTGTGGGGGGAGGGGGGCAAGGGCATTATTTGCAACCTTAAAATTTGTACCCTCATAATATGCTCAAATTTAAAAAAGATAAAAAAATTAAAAAATAAAAAAACTTGATTCAGTGCTCTCCCAATGCAAAAAGCCTTTCACCTGAAGGCATTTGTCAAAAATAACTCCAGGCAATTGATTAGCTTTGCTGCTATGTCAAATGATGGGTAACAGTTGAGGCAAACAATGGAGTACCCAAAAGTCTTAAAAGCAAAAACTGGGGAATGAGATGTTCATAGGGGCTTTGAAAAGCTTTTTACAAAGGTTCCAAGACAAGTCAACGTAAAAGAATAGTCCTTCAATAAATGGTGCTGGAACAACTGGATAATCACATTCAAGGGAAAGATTATTATGTCTATGTTTTCTTCTAAGAGTTTTATATTTTTAGCTGTAACATAAAGGCATTTGATCTATCTTGAGTTAATTGTATGTATAGTGTGTGGTAGAGGTCTGTCTTTGTCCATTTTGTGCTGCTATAACAGAATATTACAAAGTAAGTAATTTATAAAGAACAGAAATTTATTTTTCCACAAATCTGGAGGCTAGGGAGTCCGAGACTGAGGGGAAGGCATCTGGCAAAATCCTTCTTGCTGCATCATCCTATGAAAGAAGGCAAAAGGGTAAGAGAGGGCAAGAGAGGACAAAAGAAAAGAAGATATCAAACTCTCAGCCTTAAGTCCTTTTATAATCAGCATTAATCTATTCATGAGGACTCCACCCTCATGACCTAAATTCCTCCCATTAAGCCCCACCTTCTAACATTGTTGCATTGGAAATTAAATTTCCAACAAATGCCTTTGGAGGACACATTCAAATTATAGCAAGATCTATTTCCATTCCTTTGAATGTTATTATCTACTTGTCCCAACACCAAAAGTCAGGGTTGGGAGGCAAGCACAAGAGAATGGGAGTAAATGTGATGACCAGAGAGAAAGGGAAAGTTATGAGAAGGAATTTTCAATGATGAACAGCAGCCTACACTGATCAATTAACAAACCAGTCATTTAGGCCGCAAGTACTAGTCAGACTGTGAATATGCCTCAGTGGTTAAAATAACAGGCTCTACTCTTAGAGTGTCTGGGTTGAAATCCTAGCTCTACCACTTACTGTATGACCTCTTTGTGCCTTAGTTTCCCTTTTTATACAACAGAGATAGCGATAATATACTTACCTCTTAGTGTTGTTGAGAAAATTAAGACATATCAAAGTCTTAGTGCTTGCTGCATAGTATATACTTATTAAACATTAGCTATTAATGTGTACCTACTGTGTATACCACCCTGGAGTTCTATATGTACTCTGCCTTTGGGAGGGGATTGTGGTTGAAATCTTCTTACTTAATATTCAACAGATACTTTGTGCCAGATATCTCTCCAGGTTCTATGGGAAATATAATAATGAATAAGTTCGGTCCATGGTTTAAGGTACTACTTATTTAATAACAACTCTTAAATCTGTAGCTCCAGCTCAGACATCATCTTTCCTGAGCTCCACACACATCGATGGATTCTTGCTGAACCTCTCCACCTGAATTGCCAACAGGTACCTCCATGTCATCATGTAAAAAATAAATAAATAAATAAACTTATTTAATAAGTTTATAAATAAAATAAATAAACTTATTTCCAGATAGCTCCCAAACTGGCCTCTTCTCTTGTGTTCTTTATTGAAGTTAATGGCACCATTATTCACCCGGTTACCCAAGCTAGATACTAGCAATCATCCTGAAGGCCTTGCTCACTCCCCACATTCTATCAAATACTAAATCAATTGATAGTACCTACTAGACAGTGCCAATCATAGTTCTGAAAGACACAATCCCAAAAGTTGAAATCCCTAAAGATCAAAATCCCTAAAGTCTAAAATCCTTAATATCTAAAATTCTGAAAATCACAATCCTGAAAGATTAAAATCCCAAATGTTAAAATCCTGAGAGCTGAATTCTGAGGAAGGGATTAGTTTTTGTTTGTATGCAGGATAGTTGTATCATGTTAGTTACATCATGTTAGTTGCATCATGTTAAGCGGAACTATTACCTTGTTATTGTTTTTATTTAGAAATTAAATATGAGTTAAGGAGATGTGGGAGCCAATTCCCCTAATAAATCAACTCTTAAATATCTACATATCCTATTGGTTCTGTCTCTCTGGAGAACCTTGACTAATACAGATTTAGTATTGGAAAAGCTAAATTTCTTATAACACAATGGAAGAGATCTGTGAAATTGTCCCTTCACAAAAATGCTGTGATAGGTGTGCAAGGCTACTTAATGGTGAAGGATGAAAATTTAAAAGCTAATTATTATTGGTGCTGCAAAAGCAGAAAAATCACTTCATTGCAACAGCCAAGCAATAACCAGGCTTTTGAATGGGCAGCATATACTTACATAATTTGTAGACCACAACCACTTTTGAAATACAAGAGTGGTGAATGTTTCAAAGACTGTAGAAGTGAAAACGTAGGTTAAAAATACAAGAAATCTCCCCTACCAAATTATTCAGTTGTGGATTTCTGCCCCTTCGCGCATAGTGCCAATTTGCTATGCTATGTGTTTCATTTTTGCATCATGTCCAATACTGAAGGCATAAATTGAGTAAAGACTCTTAGAGAGTTCTAATTTGTTTTATGTATTTTTATTTGCAAATTTGACTTCCACAAAACTGCATTATCACAAACTCGACTTTGTGTATCAGCATTATGTATGTACATAAAAACATTAAAACTTCTTTGACAAATGAAGAGATGTTCTTTTTATACATATGCATTTGTGTGAGGCAAAATTTCTCAAGATCTCGGTACTTTGGGCAACTGCATATGCGGTGGTCACAATTTTTGATTGATCTCATCAAGACTTAGGTTGCCCATCATGGCATTTCAAATGACCACAGTTATAAAACTGGGTGCACACAATTACTAACCATGATAATATGCTTTATACATTTTGCTTTTTGACCTATTTCTTTATGAATGCAGTTCACTTGTTCATAACTGTTATGCCCATGCTACTGTTGTTAGTATACCTGTTTATGCTTGCAAAAATATGTATATCGTTATTGCCTATTTTATTAAGTGGCCAGCCTATGAATTGCTCTCTTGTATTTTTATGTTCTCAAATAAACCCCCTTTTAAAAATGTAAATAAACGTCTTTTAAACAATCTTTAACTTATTTTTTTCAGAATTATATTTTTGGGATTTTGATCTTTTAGGAATGTGATTTTTAGGATAGACTTTAGGGATTTTTATCTTTCAAGATTTCAGCATTTGAGATTGTGTCTTTCAGGATCATGGCTCGAATCTCCTACTAGATATTTCTCAAATACATTTACGTTTCTCAACACTCCCTAGGCCAACTTGCCATAATTACTTGCCTGGATTGTTAACAGTAGCACTTGTACGCACTGCTATACCCTCTCCATCCAGTGAGAAGTTCCAATGAACTTTTAAAAAATATCATCTCTCTCTCTCTCTCTCTCTCTCTCTCTCTCTCTCTCTCTCTCACACACACACACACACACACACACACACACACACACCCTCTATGGAAAAAAGTAAAAATTCTTCAGTCTGGCCAACAAAGCCTTTACGCCTATCAAGTCTCAGCCATGACCCACTCCACACTCCTGGCACCTTCATTCCTACTGTTTCAGCCTGACTGCCCTGCCTTCACTTCTTCCAAGATGTCAAGCTTTTTCCAGACTCAGGACATTCACTATGCTGTTTGTCTGCCCCCCACAACTAATTTTTACTAGTCCTTCACATTTCATATAAAATAACACATCATGAGAGATTTCTTCCCTAATCCCTCAGATTAGGTCAGACCTCCCAGTTAAATGCTTTCATTTCCTAACACTTATGCACATTTAATGTCTATCTTCCTTAAGAGGCTGTAAGTGTACTAGGGCAAAGACTATGCTTTAGTCAACATTGTAATCCCACATGTTTAACACACTGCTTTTGCACACAGTAGATGCTCAATAAAAATTTGGGATGAGGAAAGAAGGAAGAGAGGGGAGGAAAGATGAAAGGAGAGAAAAAGGGTAGGAGGAAGGAGGAGGAGGAGGCATTGTAAGAGGTAGAAAATAAATAAAAACATGTTCCTTGACCTTGGGGAGCTTCTAGAGTTGGGTGAGAGTCATGCAAGCAGACAATTCCATACAGGGGTATAAGTGCTATAGCAGAGGTGTCTACAGGTGGTAGGGGAATTCAAAGGAAGAAGAGACTACTCTATCTGGGATCACAGGAAATGCTAGAAAAAGGAGATGACATTTGGGCTGGCTCTTATTTTAAACATCTTTATTGTTATATAATTTGCATACTATCAATTTAAAGTGTAAATTTCAATGGTTTTTAGTATATTCACAGAGTGTGCAGCCATCACTGCAATCAATTTTAAAACATTTTTATTACACCCAAAAAGAAACCCCATGTCCATCCATAATCATTCCCATTGCCCCCTTACCCCAGGTCCTGACAACACTAATCTATTTGCTGTCTCTATATATGTTTGACTATTCTGGACATTTCATATAAATGGAATCACACAATATGTGGCCTTTTGTGTCTGGCTTCTCTCACTGAGCATAATGTTTTCAAGGTTCATGCTTGTTATAGCATGTACCAATATTTCATTAATTTTTATTGCTGAATAATATTCCACTGTATGGATATACCAGATTTTGTTTATTTATTAATTAGCCAGTGGACATTTGGATTGTTTCCACTTTTTGACTGTTATAATGCTGCTGTAAACCACTCATGTACAAGGTTTTGTATTTATGAATAGTTGGTTCTCAATAAACATTTGTTCAATGAATAAAGAAATATGTGTACATATAAAGTAGTTATTACAGTGCTCAGCATGTGACTGATGCTCAGTAAACATTAGCTGATGCTCTTGTCATTACTGTCATTATCACCACCATTACTACTACAACTGAGCTACATGTATAAAATGAGACTTTGTTTATTTCTCATTTGCTCTGAACATACTGGATCAACTCCAAGAACAAATGGTACATAGGACAACTAACTAGAGTGGCTTTAGGGAGGTTACATCTTTTTTCTTCCCAGAACCTCTGGTTTATTTGTGTGTGTGTGGCAGTATTGTATAGTGGTTCCAGGCACAGCTCTGAAGCTAATGCCTGGGTTCAATAATATCAGGATTTTTCTTTTACTAGCAATGTAATCTTGGACAAGTTACTAGTATTCCTGAGCCTCTTTCCTCATCTGTAAAATGAAAATAATAATAGTACTAACTCCACAGAGTGGTTGTAAGGATTAAATGAGATGGTGCAGGTAAAAATGCTTAGCACAGTAGCTGGCACAGAGTCAACATTCGAATGATAACTATGACCTAAAGCTTCAGCCTCTAGTGGATTCTGTGAGAAAGCCCTCATCTAACCATGGCAACTAAGATCAGTAGGTAGAAAACTGCCAAGCCTCAAGTGGTGTGCCTGGATTGGAGATTCTGGAGTGTCTCTGCAGCAGACAGTGCTCCTGTCCATTTAATCACTACTTCTTGGTGGCCCACGTTGTCTCATTGTCAAGGTTTCATAATCTGAGCCAAGCCGAAATTTTAGGGAAAATTGCAAGTTACATCCTCTATGCTGATGGCATATCCCATGATCCTACACCTTCTTCTATCAAAATACCATGGTGTGTGAGTCTAAAGCCCAAGATACATCATTTGGGCACTATTGCAGTTCAAGATTATCTGCAAACATGTTTACCTCCATCAGAGGAAATAATTAAAATCTCACATACTTCCTTATAGCAAGATTCTTTTGCACTTGATTCAATTAGGTGATCATGATGATAATTCATGACAGACATCACTGAAGAGAAAGTGCATCCATTTGTTGGGTCAGACCTTTTGCAAATCCACAGGGAAACAAGTTAAAGACAGACACAGTCTGTGCCCCCCAGCACTGAAGTCAAATCCAGGAGACAAACAAGTAAGTAACAAATACATTTGCATACTTATAGCTTTCAATGAAATTTTGTATTAATCAGTTGGAAGGATATAACTAAGTGTGGGATGGGGAGGGTTGGAACCATTCAGTCACTTTGCAACTGAATAAACAGATGTCTCCAACTTCCTGACTTTTAGTCTGTAGTATTTATATTTGGTACCATAACTCTCTAAGGAAGACTAGATCATTTACTCCTCTTAACAGCTGGAAAGTAATCTCTTCATCTTGTATCAAAATCTCCCCACTCCCTTACCTAGCAAATTTTAGCCACCTTCTGAGTAATCCATATCTGGCCCTCAGTGTGGGTGATCCTGCTGGATATTAATGTTCTCTTTCCTTTTCCTCATCACCTCTGTAAGCAAACTGAACTTCATTCCTCTCTGTCTTGATCTCTGTCAGTTTAGCCCATTTGTCAATTTTCAATCTTTAGTTATCACTCCCCACCCAGGTGCTTATCATAAGTTCCCAGTACATTTCCATCTTGTCCATCTTCTCAGCCTCTCAATCCACTACATGAAAGGTCATATTTCTCTATTCCAATTTCTGCTAATGGCCTTAACAACACTTAATGGGAACAGAAAATGATTTC